GAATGATTGGTTGTAGTTACACAATTTTTAGGAACATTTTATTTTTATGAAGAGGTGGGACCTCCCATGGGCACTTCATCACAAAAGCACGGCATTTGATCCTATGTCGAGCCAGTTTAATTCCGACGACACCATCACACGCTATATAACTTGTGTTCCGTTTTAATATTATCTTCTTATTTGTACATTCCTCTTCAAAGTACTCTACCCTTAATATATTTCGTAGAAATGGAATAATTTCGTATTTCCTCCATACGTGCTACATGTCCCACCCATTAGAGACTTCCGATTTAATAAATCACCCAACATAGGCGTATTCACTGAAGAATACAGCGTCATTAAATAATACATAAATAAATAAATAACAGGAGGAAATGGATAAATTACAACTTCTAGGAGAGCCAGAAACTTGGAGACAGTAGGAAAATGTAACAAAATATATCACCTTAATCATTTTAAATTACAGCTAAGTCCATCTTACAGGAAATACCATATTCCGCTAATGTAGTAGGAAGGCAATGTGCGAACAAGGATACAAGAAGCCCAAACCATGGACTTACGAGCCAGTGCAGCTAACTGGGGTCGCGTGTATTGCAGAACCGAGTCACTGACAAAATAGATCTATTGTAATTGTAAAATTACTTTATTATGTTAGGAAGGTCTGAAAATTATGGCGTTTAGGATGTTATTCATTTCCTTTTCATATATGGGGCGGAATTAAGTATTTCCTCTCCAAAGTGTAACAGAGTCAGGGTGGCAAGGAAGGGAAGCCGGGGGCAAGGGGGGGGGTGAAAGAGTGGAATTTGTTAGTCCAGAAATAGTGTGGTCTGATTTGTAAGAGGGAGGGTTTTTACACATAATGGGGGAAACGAAGAGGGATGTTTTCTGGGGTGAAATGTTATATTTTCAACACATATTTTTCTATGAATGAATGACACTGAAAATACGGTCTACAGGTCAAATTTCGGGTTCTTTTATGGTGCTTTCATCAAGTGTTTTTTTTTGGGGGGGAGGGGGCAAATATTCACAGAAAATACGTTATACATAACTGAGGTGGAGAACCATAATAAGTACCACAATTTTAAATGCTACTTTAAGCACAAAAGTTCAGATCTCTGCTCCTGTCCACGTGCAGCGTCATATTGAGATGTGTCCGTTTGAACGGTGAGTTACGAGTACAAACATGGCGGTCTGGTAGCAAAATAAAGCAACAAAAACACATTTCAGAACCAGAAGAAATAAATTACGAAGACTACACAATACTGAAAAATCAGATTATTAGTTTTGAGGTAGAAATATGGATTGTGAAAAAAATAGAACAAATTGTGCATGCAAAATTTCTCGCGTCACTACTGAGAAGTTAAAATAACAGAATGGCATGGGTCAGTGCATTGTTTGACTCTGCGTATCTCTTAATTTGATCACAAACGTAATTTCAACTACTTTTCGTTTTCCCATTTCGAGAACATTATTACACTGGCGAAGAAGCAATTTTTCAGGTTAGATCAGTAGCTTAGTATTCAAAACATACTTGGATCTATCCCAATATAATTACAATTGTAAAATGTAAACAAACGAAAGTGTACTCATATAATGACAACCAGTCACTTAAAGACGGGGTTGGAGCCTACTGTCGAATCCTCGAGTATAGCCTATGACTTACAGATTACCTCAGACAATGGGCTGTATCCAATACAGAGTTGGCATGACATTAATAGACCTACCACGGCGACGATTATGTAGATTGTCTTCTGAGTTGTCGATATTGCCCTGATAATTGAGGCAACAAGAACCTCTGAAACGTCGATAAACTTCTACCAAGCTACACGGCGCAACAACCCAGAAACAGCCACATTAAAAATTGTAAGATTTGAGGTTTTCACAGCGGTGAGTATGAAGATTTCCGTCTTATGGGTTGTTGCGCTGTGTAGTCTGGTCGATGTTTACCAACGTTTCAGAGGTATACTGCCTCCGTCATCAGGACGATGAGTATGAAGATTTCTGTCTTATGGGTTGTTGCGCCGTGTAGTCTGGTCGATGTTTACCAACGTTTCAGAGGTCATACTGCCTCCGTCATCAGGGCGATGAAAGATTTGAGGTTTTCACAGCGGTGAGTATGAAGATTTCCGTCTTATGGGTTGTTGCGCTGTGTAGTCTGGTCGATTTTTTACCAACGTTTCAGAGGTATACTGCCTCCGTCATCAGGACGATGAGTATGAAGATTTCTGTCTTATGGGTTGTTGCGCCGTGTAGTCTGGTCGATGTTTACCAACGTTTTACACAGCGCAACAACCCAGAAGACAGGAATCTTCACATTCAAAATTATTCAAAATTAGAACCAATCCGAAATAATGGATATGTTCTCTCCACGTCATATGATTCTGAGTCAGGCCAACCATGACCTGCCACAATGAAGTATCCCGCATGTACGGGAAGGAAGTCACTGTGACTTGTCGTTCAGAGGTGCCCCGAGGGGATAGACCAGCAGGTAACAACAGCACGGACTTGACCCGGCGAGTGGTCGGACAAGGTCGGTGGGACCAGCAGACAACTCCGGCCAGTGATAAAGCGGCCAGCTGTTGTCAACGCCACAAGGTAAAATTAAAGTTGTCCCCGTGATTAATCAGCCACCATGTCATGAATATGTATGAGGAAGACTTAGGCACTATAAGAACGTGAGGGGTCAGCTTCGCGATTCGACAGGTTTAGTCTGGGGAAACATGCCTAAGTATCCATCCGATACGAGGCTGGGCTGTGAGTCTCAGAGACGGTCTGAATGGGAAGCAAAGAGAAAAGTCCGTGACTCTGCCGGAAATTGAATCCCAGTCGTGCACCTACAGACAGTCAAGTTCCACTCAGGTCTACTGTTTATCTGAACAGAATAATAGAATTATTTCCTGAATTTATCACTCAATTTTCATAAAAACTCTTTAGTACATGTTACCGTTGTGACAAAGTAATGAAATTATGTCACTTTTTGTCTGTTATATTACGATTTAGTTACGGATTTTTATTATGTCATGTGCTCATACGCTTAATTTTATTATACAGTCAGCACATTTCTAGATCATTAATATACTGGCTCTATAAAGAAGACTCCATTTATTTTTTCGCCTTCTATATTTTTAAAACTGTATGACTTATTATCACCATCACTATCACACTTACTGAGGTGTCCGAGAACTAAGTTCTCGGGCAAATATCAGGACTTAAAGCTTAAGAACAAACAAGACTAAACAACACGGAGATTCACAGCCTTCATGTAATGATGTTAGGGTGAGTAAATAAAAATGACTCCAGCATACTTGGGGGGGGGGGGGGGAAAATATAAATTTCGGTTGAAATCCTCAACGGAGGAAGCACTTCAGAGAAGTATGTGTAGCTTGGACGATAAACGGGCTAAAGCAGCATTGAATAAAACTGATAATATAAATGAACTTAACCAGTACAACGGCGAAAATGACGATAAAATCGCCGGGTTCCGAAATTTCATAACCAGCAAGACTATTATTATCAGCTGCTCCAAAGAAGACCCCGTACCATGAAGTGCCATGAAGTTACCCGTGTTTACATCTAATAAATATATATAAACTAAAAATCAAAATGCTACGCAATTATTTCCGAGTTTTTACTGAAAGATATCAGGTGACACACAAAGCTAATCTTATAGTTCATTTACTCTAAAAATTCCCTTCTCTCATGAAACGTAAAGGTTAATTAACGTGTTCACGAGAACTCACCAATGGTCCCTCCCTTGGACTAGTCGAATCCAGTCCACATTCTGTAATTTTAACATAAATTTTAGTACTTCCATACCATCTATATCTAGGTCTTCCAAAGTGGTCTCTTCCCTTCATGCATGCTTGCATGAGATATTCTATAATAAAAATTAAGACAGATTTATGTGACAAATATGGCAGCAATTATAATTTTGATCTGGGCTAATCTAGACTTAAGTGCATATTGGAAGTCAGATAAGCCTACAGGAAGTAGATTTACTATTACAGCCCGAAGGAACCTAATTCTCCAGGGCAAACCGCAGGCCCAGGCGCTGAAACTAATTCCACCATGTGAACAAGACATTCTGCTTTATTCAGATCTGCTTGTATTTGTACGTGGAAGCCAGGAACTGAAGCACACAATTAAGTGAAAGTAATTAACGTTTCTTTTACTTCTGAAAGTTTAATTATGTTTAAAATGTATGCGTTCCACCACTTGTGGTTGTCAAATCAATTTAACATTTTCCAGTATCAGTTAAACAAAACCACTACTTACATGAAAATCAAATAAGGATCTTGTTTTAAAGGATTATTCGTATAAAATTCTGGTACATGCTACAAAATATAGATATCATTATTATCTACGTTTCCAGTGACAAGATATAATGAAAAAGGCGAGTCATAAGCATCAAAAACAACACATCTTCGTCCATTAATTAAAACTCAAAACACACGATGAAAGCAGAGCCAGTTCCCAAAACGTCATGTGTATTTTAATATATCTCTACATTTTTATATAATACAGGGAGGAAAATATCGTTTCCCATTATTTATAAACATGTGACTACATCGTTCTTGCATCACTTCAAATCAAGTTTCGAGATTGTGTCTGTCATTATAATTGGTCTTAGTGTTATTATTTTGAATTTCTTTCCAAAGCAGTCTCCTCTGTGTGTGTGCGCGCGTAACACTTCATCTGTTACTTTTTAGGCATCTGTAAGCGTGGCCCCTATTATTATTACCGGGAGGCAAACGAAAAGTCACGATGTAACTAGCAGAACAAAATAGACAGCGACTATAACAGCACAGTACTATTACTTGTATAGAGGAGACGTTTCAGATTTCTTCCATAAGTACGGGCGATTATATTTCGTATTCGCAAGTCATTCCTCAGGGAAACAAAACACAAAAAGACATTACTTTTCGTTTAATTTTTCATTGAAATCAATAATACTTTGCTGAAAAACTGTTATTTTCCTTTATGCAACGCCTGGATTCTATTAACATTAATTGCTTCTCTGTCAAATAATATTAATGAAACAGGCCTTTTGGTAAAATACCTCCAGAAACAACTGTGAAGTTTCCCTTGTTCTTAAGCACCTCTCCAGGAAAGTGTAAAGCAGACACTGAAGTCAGCCTAGACCTCGGCCGTCGATGGAGGTGGCATCACGCAGACTACAGAGACGCTCTGGACACAGTGGCTGAGATAAAAAGCCTTGCGTCTGCCGTGAATCAAACCACGGCCCTCCAACCCGTAGCCAGTGATTCATAACTACTGAATAACAACAACATGAAACATACCAAACACAACTGACTAGAATATGATCTCCTTAGGTCTGCCTATTGTCCAATGCTGAACAACGAACTACCTACAGGCCACGTGCGGCTTCACAGCGTATTTTGTACGTCCTGCTCAACTTTTTATGGGGATTAATTATTAGGCTTCCAAAAGAACCAGAACCCAATCACTGAACTGTGTTCACATGTTGTTTTCGTTGCTTCTTCCTTTCCAGATTCCCGTTATAAATATTAACATGTCGACAGTCATGAATGCTGTGTTATACTACTTTGAAATAGACTACATACAATCAGCTTTTGCCCTATTCTTATTATTCTCCATTCGGCATCATTCTGAAAATGCCAAGACAGAATTATCGCTTTATTATGAATGTAAAGAGTTTCATTTAGTGGGCAATATATAATCACAGGTAGTGAATATGAAGCAAATGTTCCAGGGATCGAATACTCTTCTAATCTCAAACTTGTATCGAGCTGAGTTTGGATGAGATCGGAAACCCTGAACGCACATACTGACAGATGGACAGCAAAAGGGGTTGGGGAAGGAGAATATATGCGTATTGGTATCATGGAGGTAAATATCCATGCATTCTTAACTTTGGCATTAGACAGAGTTTATAAGCCTTTGCTCCCAGTGATAGAAACCAGGGCAGGTTGGGCTTAAGATCCGTAAGAATAAACTAACATTGTGGTAGCAAACCTAGAAAGTTCAAAATCGTTAACACCAAAGCCCACCATTAGACATAATCATGCGTCCTCGCGTACCTTGGCCGTGGTCGAATGAGTACGTTTAAAACAGGAGGAAAAATATCACTTAAAACTCAAACTAATTTTTTTACTTGCTTTGGTCAGGAAATAGATTATTATTGTAATTAGGTAAGAGTAGGAGAAACGATAATGAGAGAGAGAGAGACAACAAGAGAGAAGAAAATGGAACACACACAAAAACTCAACTTGTTTCAGCCATACCAGTCTTCAGAACATGTAATTTCTATGAAGTTATCTAAAACAAAAACTGACAATTTAAAAAGAATGTGGAAATGACGTATAACCAAACAAGGCAGAATTACAGGAAAAAATGGTCCCAGTTTTCTTTTCGTGCGTCATCAAATATATTTTGACAAGCACGCCAAATTTTAATAACCTGTACTTTTCTCCAGTCATTATAAAAAGCAGTTTATGGAATATAAATACGGACTGATTGTGCCATCCACATGTCTGATTGCAGAGAGTTGTATTTAAAACCACAGTCAAATGCTCAGAAAAATGTTGCCGTGCTTTAAAAGGTTTTCAAGAAAAAGGATTCTTTCGGACGTAGAATCAGGAAATAATTGGATTGGAAACCGTGAGAGAATGGAACGAAAATATAGCTGATCTTTGAATGGCTTATTGCGATACTGGAAGAGACCACATCGGATTGCAGTCGATGCATGACTGGATACCAGAACACCTGTTAAAAAATCGCACTAACAGAATGCGAGGTCAAAGTAAGTTGAGTAACAGGCGACTTCCGAGGATCCAATCACATCAGAACCCTGAAGATGGGGACAGAGTTTGTTCCCGAAACGTCGGTTTACTACGGTAACCAGTTAACGCGGCTGATTGCCCGAGAAGATTTTATTGATTGTACTCGCCGCGAAAGTCTCAAATCCTATAGCAATAAAACTCTTTAAATGCAGTCTACGTTGTTCTGGATTGCAACATCGTGTGGACTTGTAGGTAAATACAAGGGTTTCAAAGCTGAGTATGTTTCTCCGAAACCTTCTTTTCTACCTGGAAGTCCACATTGCGTTACAGTCCAGAAGACCAATATCGACGTCTTCAAAGCCGTGAGAAATTTAAATCTTACTTACAAGCTAATCTTCTTTGCGCAAAATCCAACGCTTCATTCCTTAATCCTGTACGTGTTAAAGTAAAACACAGTCCTTCACCACTGAAGCAAAACAGCTACCTAAAACACGTTTTTACACGCAAAGATTCTGTTCGAAAAATCACTTGTCTTACTTTTTTACACTCGAAGATTCTGTTCGAAAAATCACTTGTCTGTGAATGTCGAAGGCAGAGCGAAGCCGAACAGCTTCGTCAAGTCTTTCGTCGCATGTTGTAGCACTCGAACCTTCTGTTTTCGGCCGTCAGATGAGACCAGTTGCTGCAGCAACGGATGCCACACCACTCTAGAGAAGGCATGCATGTGACCAGTTTCGTTTTTCTCTCAAGGGTCTTTCAATCCCCGCCGAGTACGAAAAGCTCCGACTGCATTCATGTCCGTAAGTATTACTTTAATTCGCTTCTTGCATAAAATGCAGGACAGATTTATCTTAATTACCTTAGTAATAAGCCAATGGACTATATTCTGGGCCATTCAAAACAGCTTACGTTTCCATAACCTGTTTATGACTAAATTTACTTGTAGCATCCGTTCTTCCCAGACGACCATACATAATCATTTCAACCCTTTTGACGCCAACATAAATTCTGCAGTTAGTCAAAAACTTAGAAACAGGTACCCTTGAGGTAATACAACATTTTCTCTGATGCTTACCTAAGCATCACGCAATGCAGATGTATAGGAGAGTGGAGAGAGCTACATGTATACACGTTTTATCTCAGGACTATACCGGGGTGAGTGCTCAGTTTCAAGCCCCGGTCGCTTTACTCTCTATTAAGGAATCCCATTGAATACGAAGCTCGGTGGGCCCCAGAGACGGTCTGGACGTTGAGACGAATAGAAGCCAACTGATTATAACTACATAAGGTAGCCCCCTGATATAGTAATGTATTCAGAATCTCAAGCGTATAGAATGTATGTTACATGACTTTATTTTTCAGTACGCATTCAGATTTGATGATCACTCCACACCATTTACATCTGGCAACTAACTTCACACGGTGATTTAATGCACCAGAATTCGACGGATATGATGTGAAGATAATGACATGCTTGGAGCTGATATCCATGATGTACTACGAAGGACCATTATAGCATGTGCCTCCAGTTACTGAAGAAAATCATGACAAACTTCAATCAGGACAGCCAGTTTCGATCCTGAGGCTTCAAATTAAGAAACTTCATGTGATAATAACAGCTGTTTACAATTAATTTCGACTGTACGGGAAACAAAAAACCGTTCTTGTATTATAAACTTCTTCTGTGACAGAAGAGCTTGTTACAGGATTGAGGCATTCAATGTGTGGGCTCTAGGAGCTACGAAATTAGCGCTCGTTACCTTGCTGTATCTAACTGCTTCAACTTTTCCTTACCTGAGGGTATCTCGATAGTTGTCAATGTACGTCTAATAATAAAAGAGAAAACTCCGAAACATTTATAAAATTCCATACAAATATTATTATTAAAAATCTTCCCTCCTCTTCCATCGTTTCCTTTTGCCCTGTTTCTTTATGTTCACGGAATGTACATCTTAATACCTGTATCGGCCTCAAAATCTTCACTCCATCTTTAACTTTGTCTTCATATTGCTATTCGCCTTCCCTGGTAATTTCCGCCCGTCTTATCTATATGGACTTCCAAGATGCACCCCTTTTATGCAATGTCCATTCGTTTCGGAAACAACATACCTCACTATCAAGTTCAAATCACTAAGTAACAATATGAGGTCACGCGGATTCATTCAAAATGCATAGTTGCAATCCACCTATATCAGAACGTACAACTTCGGCAGCGTCGAATGCTTAGAATTATCTAACGTTTTAACAAACATTCCAGTTTCCACCTTCAGGTTCAGTATGCAATGGTTGGGCGTTTTTGGAAGCCTCGTATAGGGCAGACAACAGGTGGCGAGTTGGATTTGATGGTGCTGATTGGTAGAGGGAAAACAACCTGAAGATGGAAACTGCAATGTTTATTCATGCTTCGTAACGAAGAAGTTTGAGAACTCTCGAAAGTGTGAACTGAGGCATATTTACGACAGGCCTGTACTTGCAATTCTTAAATAGAATTACAAATCAAAATTTCAGAATAAATTATGAATCAGGAAACCAGCTGTTGCTGTCGGAACTGCTGACCTTATCGGTAAAACAATCGTGAGGTTACCGTAGAGAAAATAGATAAAAAGACAATGAATTTACAAGCGACAGGCTTAATGAATACTGCGTCCACATTAACTCTGAAAACATTTGCTTACAGTTCTGGGAAATACAGTAACTACTACGAACATAGCACACGATTATTAATACGTAACAAATCTAACAGGAACTCGGCCATGATTACTGGAAATACCGGTTTTCAAACATCTCAAGAAGTTAGAAAACAGCGCCATAAAGTGATCACCACACGACATAAATGCGTCGTATGAGGTCAGAAAGGTTTGTTCCTGTTTCGCCTTGTTTCGTTTCGCCCTTCAACTGTGCGATAGGCAGTAGTCATACACGTATTCCGCAAAAACATTTTTACGGTTTTGATTAGGCGTAGATGGCAGGATAATATTAAAATGGATCTTCAATGATTAGAATGTAATGACGTGGTCTTAATTCATATATCTCTGGAACGGGTCCGGTGACGGGATCTTGTCAACAAGGCAATGAACATTACAATTCACAAAGTGCGAGGAATATTTTGATTAGCTGAGTCACTGTTATCTTCTCAGATAGGTGTGTGCTTCGTGCCGTTAATTAGCTACTAAACAAAAATAAAAGGACTCTTGGTAAAACTATGTAAATGAATTATGAATGAGACTCGGATAGTCCAGTAAAATGGTATAAACAAGGGAGGAAATGTACGCCATAGTAATTAAGGCGCCTTCACCAGAATCTGGCACTCGACTTTTGTGAATACGCTAGTGACGTCAGAGTTGTCTGGGTCAATGATCCTTGAGTGGATGGACTGTCTGGCCTGGTGATACTGTTCTTACGGAGGATTCCCTCGCCTCAGTTAACCATGATGATCAAGGTAAATGTCGCCTGCACTGAGACGAAAATAGCTAAAAAATATTATTTTTTTGGTACCATCGGGTCGGAGCCGACCCCTGGTGACATTATGAACAAGATCCCTCTGATAGGGACCTGTTCATATGTTTCCTAGGCAAGTGATCCAGAAGTGGTTTGCCGTTGCCTTCTTCTGTGTGCTTAATGTCAAATGATGATGAAAATGGAATAATTGTTGGGATGCCACGGAGAAATCGGGGAAACCGCGGAGAAAAACTCCGTGATACCTGGACCACGGCCTTGCCCAACAAAAGTTATAAACCCGGGACCCCAGGATTACAAGCCCAGTGTTCTGACCGCTACACCTTATTATGCCCTTATGTAAAGTGGTCGTTAAAACAGTCTCATTTAAACCAAAATTGATATTGTTAGAAACGTTTTTGTAACAACTTCCAATATTAAATTCCATAAAAATCGGGTTGTCCGGTCATTTCATGCATTCTTGGAACACTGCTGAGAACTATGATTCATATCCTTGAGAAGTTATATGACGTTTTACTCTACAGATATGACTGTAATTTCATTGATAGGATTTTGTAATTTGTCTTATGTAAATCGGAAACCACGGCGTTTTATGAAACACACTTAAGGATCTTCTTCATCATTATAAGACCTGCGTTGCATGGATTAAAAGTCAACTACATCTTTATTGTAAAGCATGCATATTTAATTGTTTCTTTTTGTCATTACTGGAGCATTGTCATCAGTTATGGATTGTCAAGTAGTCTGATTTACCGGAGTGTTCTTTCTTTGTTTCTATTTATCTTTTTATTCTCTTTCCGCCCTTGCCGTGAATCCCTGATCGCTCTAGAATCCTTGTTTAATGCTGACAGCAGCACTGTTCCTTACATATTTTAAACGTCGTACCGGTACCAAACAATCTGGCTTTCCTAACAAAATAGATAATGACGTTGTGTCTGATATTCGTTTGCCTCTCTGTTGCCCAGCTTTGAGTTTCTGAGCAGCAGGAGAGCTGAGAAATGCGAAGATTCTGTACCTAGTTTCCATTTCTATACAACATGTTTAAGGAAAGGCTTAATCTACGCAAACAAACCGAACCCAGTTCTATGTAAAATGTTCTACAGAGTCTATATATTCCCATTAAAGGTATCGGAATTTTAATCAGAAATAAAACAAAACTACTGCAAGTGTATCATCTATTATTTTTTATCTAAATATATTTCATGCTGTTAGAATGCAAAGTAAGAGATTATAGTGACAAGAGAAAGAGCTAATGTGATGGTAAACAGATGCCAATTTCAGCTTCTGATTCATTTGTATAGCAGCTTCGATATTTTTCTAAACAACTGCTAAGGCCACTTTAAACTGGAATTCCGTCCGGGATACGTTTTAAAATTATACTCTAAAAGAGATCAGGTAAATTGAGAGTAAGTTACACGTAATCATACTGAGACCTGTAACAGTCAACATTGCTGAAACTTATAAACCATAAAAATAATTAAATTCTTTGAACACAAATTTCTTACATTGCTCGACACTTCCAGTGACTTAACTGATCATACGTAATCTAATACACTGCGAACCCTCCTGAATGATCCACCAACTGTGACTGATGCTGGAATCGAGCTTCATAATGCTAACACCAAATGCCACTATGCCTGATATTGGTCTACCTCAACGTAATAAGCACATCTACGAAAATATTATCATCTCTGTTATCCAAGAACTTTATATTCAAGACATTATCCACGAAAACACTATATTCATTTCTCATTTAAAAGTAGTAACAAAATAAAATAGACGTGGGCTTATAAATAAAGCAAATTTTCATCGCTACATTCTTACGAACAACTTATTTGGAAATGATCGGAATGTATGCATTGGCATGTCATTCTGCACAAGATTGAGATTTAAACACACGAACGTTCTTTATCACACATGAAACTGGAGATCCGTTTTAAGCTAAATAGAATAAACTTAAGCACACTGCAAATAGTTCTGGGTGGAGATAGAAATGCACAGAAATTTGGAAGAGAAACTGCTCGGAAAACAGCCAAGCTGATGGAAGAACAGTATATGTAGTGGCGCGCTTCTGCATTAGCGCTGCTGAATCTCCTGATACTTCTACCAGAAATGTATAGGCCAATAAATATTCGTCAGATCTGAGGTTTTCATGGCAATCAAAAATGCGTTCGTAGTCTTGTAGCTGCTTATCTTTAGGAGAAACCTGTCACCTCCATCGTCAGTGTAGCCAAATGATAGTACCCATCACTTCAGAATTAATTCAGGCACCAAAGAAATTTGGCTGATGATTTCCATCGCGAGGTTGCATTATTAGCCATTTGGCCTGCCTTGACAAGGAAAGTAGATATCCTGGGAAATAACGTTTAGCACCATTCATCTTCATCTAATGCTGCAGTCTAGATTGCGTGGAGCTTTACCTCCATGATCCTTAAATACCTTCATTGTATAATGGTTAGGCACACAGACATGCTTATGTAAGCTAATCATAGATAGTATACTCTGAAACACAGTAAGGTTGTTTATACGAACTTGCTGATTCCGCCAGGGGAAGTCGATAGATAATTACACGTCGGTATTTCCAAGGCCCACCTTACATATGATGGAATCTTATACGTATTTTCTGTCTTGTTTTTCCCCTTAAATCGTCAACACTTTTGACGTCAGATGTTATAAAACTTTCACAAAAAAAGCAACGTAGACGTACAAACATGAGCCCCTCCCTTGGAACTTTCGACAATACACTCGAGAAACTAGTGTGATATGTGTCACTTATGTTCCCACATGAGCTGTATTATTCTCAATATGTATGCAAGAAGAGGGCGTAAAAATTCCAAACTTCGAAAAGGCTAAATTATCTGGCGATTTAACGGTTATGTTGTTTTACCCCCAGAGGCACGTAAAAAGTGATTCTACAGTCGTGGCCAAAAGCGCGAGTTGTAACTCACATACGATAAATCATAAAGATCTTTTGTCTTCAGAATAGGAGGCAATAGGCCCATTATGGCTATGTTACATTTTTGATGAAAGACGTTGCAAACTTCAAGTGGACTTCGGAGAGAGGTGAAAGGTGGAACAGAAATTAGTACACAGAGTTTAGTTTGGCTTAGACCTGAATGTTGAATGAAAGAGAAGAGAAACGATAACCACTAAAAGGTGTAATAAAAAGTGCTACAAAAGAAACTAAATGTGTTATGATTTTTTTACAGACCCGGAATTGATGCAGTAATAAAACATGGAAGATATTAAGCTGTTTCGCTTACATCAGACCTAGCCGTACGGAAATGTTTGTCATTGCATGTTAAAGTGCAGTAGTGGTTAAACAGGCAAACTATGGGTTGACAAATGACAAACGTTTTAAGGAGTCAAGATATGGATCCAAATAACTA